ACTGTAAAAATACATAGGACACAATTATCTCTAGAAGTTTACAGTATGTCATAAAAGTAGAATTTTGGTCAAAGAATTTTAAGTAAATAGAAACACACATAAAACCTTGGAAATTCAGTTTCCTATGGTTGCAAAATAGACCTGTTAATTCTTTCTATGGATAAGCAGACATATAAAACTGAAACTAGGTAAGGTTTGCTTTAACTTTCAACTTTCTTTAAAAATATCTTACATAGCCTAAAATATAGCACTAATAAGATTAACTGTTCTTCTATAAAGAGTACTGGAGAACTAATCACAAATTATTCACAAACCCCAAGGAAAGTAACATATGAAATTTACATGAGGAAGAAAATTTTGATCCGTATATTTTATACATTGGAGTCAAATGTAAGGAAATATATTTACAAAACCATTCACAAGATTTTTCCAGGTCATTTAAATTACAGAGCTAAAGACATTACCATCACAGTCTCAGTAGATATTTGCTACTTTCTAATAGAAACTAAGAAACACATAAGGTCAAAAATAAAATAATTATATTATAAAAAAAATTAAAAACCAAGAAAACAACAATAAAACCCAAAACAAACCCCAGGATCTGTTACTTCTCGAATAATAATACTGAATTGGGAAATTGAGTTTATATAATAGCTTGATCTGAAAAAAAACCCCAATGAACAAAGTTTAAAAGTGAAGGTTAGTGCATCAATGCTTCTTCTCCTCCAGTATGTAAAGATGAAGGTTCATTCTTTCCCCAGTTTGTATTTTCAAAGAAAAGTACATCATGGTTCATTTTCAAATGTCCAGAGAGAGTCACAGAATACAGTGCACAAATTTCCACACTGACCATCAAATTCTAATCATTATTTTGATTGATACAAATGTCAAATGTCTGTACAAAGTCAATCTGCCTATTGTATAATTGCTTTCACTGAAAAATCTGGCCCAAAAGACAGGTTACACATATATATATATATATATATATATATATATATATACATATATGTATATATATATATATATATATATAGTACCAAACATTTTTCATCACCAATACACTGTTTTATGTATCACAAACTATGGAACAGAATCACTTCTCTCAAGAGATCTGCATTATCACCAGAGCTTATGCCTGGCTGTATCAGTGGCTACTGTGATTTTTTCCTCCTTCTGTACTTCAATGATTGTGCCAGTAGAATATTGTTAAACCTATCAATCTTAAAATTTCAAAGCACAGAACAGATATTATGTCTGCAGCACTAAGAAGCAAGCAGATATTTTACATACCTGGAAATCAAAGAAAGGTGAAGTGCTTTGTCTAAAGGCTCTTGGAAGAAATGAGTAACAAAGCCATAATTAAAATTCAACATCAAGCTGCATGTTAATCCTCTAGACCTAAATGTCTTTTTTCAAAGTGCATGATTTGGAACATCAAAATAAGAATCAATTCAGTCCCTTTTCTCAATACACGCTTTGATGATAAAATAAACTACCACATTCAGCTTCTTCCTCTGTATTCACGTGAACAATCATCTTTCTTAGGAATCAAACACATGAATTCATTTTGGATTACAAAAAACAATTACAAAGAAAGTCAAGTCACATGTAAAATTTAAATTCCACATTTGATTTGGCTTCTCCCTCTGTGTACTGAGGGGCCCACAGGAAAACACACATACGTGCCAGGTATGCTAGTACACCAACTTATACTAGACCTATTTAATTAGTTTGCTTTCAATGCAAAGGTGCAGCACCTCAGCAATTATGTGATCGTTAATACAAGAGAGCATAACAGCACCTTTAGAGATCTTGTCTAACCTCTAGGCACACATATAACTCCCATTAAGACTAATGGGAGTCACATGTGTGTATCCAAGGGAGAAGAGACCCATTAAAACTGATACAACATATCCATTAATCTTCAGGTCACTCTTAAGGTCAAACATTATAAAAATGTTTATGAACAGTACTTGCTAGGTATTCACAGTGGCTACTTTGGTTTGGTACAGACCTGTGAGCAGTTAAGGCCATGGAAAATGTCTGCATTAAAAGCATCACCGTGTTTCAAGTAGTGGCACAGAAATTTGAGAGTGCTTTTCTATAGTCAGAGGAGACATTTTTCTATCATACCCTGAAAGAATTAGAAGGGTAGAAATGACAGGGAAGGTTACACACAAATGAAAACCTTGGACAAAGGTATGCTTTAGCTTTTCATTTTTCTTCCATCCCCCTCTCTTTCTTCATATTTCAGTCCCTTAGTTGTGGTTTTCTGCTTCAGGAAGAATATTAACAGTAGTGACTAAATTCCCAATCTGTGCAACCTACTACAAAGACACTACAAATAACATTTTGATTACTGAACCACCAGCAAACCACAACAATTTAAGTACTGCTTGCATGGAGGAAGGGGTGTTTAAAGTATTTCAAAGAGAAAGGTAATCTTAGTTTGCTCTCTATTTCTATAGAGAGCACACCTGAAAACTCCCTTTTTCATCACTGTAGTATGTTTTAAGCAAGCACGTTCTTCTTCAGTTTCCAACACGGTAAGATTATCCAGTCTGTAAAACCAACCTGCTCAGTAACAAATTTTCTAGTTTTATCTATATCCAGGCCTCAGGAGAGAGAGAATTCTCAGCAGCACGAAGGCCAGATGATCTCCATATGAACAGAGTAGAAGTAACAGCAGGAAGAAATGTGTCAGACAAGTACAGAAATGCAGAAATTAGGACAACTTTGGATATAAGTACCCTATTTGTTTACTGTTTATTTCAGCAACCGGAGTAAACAAGGCGTCTTCATCAAGAGTTACTCATGGACTATTCTGAAACTCAGCTTCCAGAGCTCATGTCAAAACTCTTACTCTACATGTAAGACTTGATCAGCACTGCCCTAAGATACTTCCTGTTACAGGGTCTGTAAGAATCCCAAGCACTGACAACCTAACTCTGCAAGCTTTTGATCAGACCTCCTGTGACGGACACAGACAGCCAGCTGCCTCTACAGCATCAGGTCAAAACAGAGGCGAGCACGGCTCCCAGAGCCAGCCACAGCAGCAGCCCCACCAAGAAACAGCACACGACTTCACTCTGGAGCTGCAGATCCTCTATTGCCTTTCTCTGCTATGCCCACATGCCACGAAGTCTCACTTCATAAGAACTTAAATTATAAGCTCTCCACAGTGCCCCACACAAGGAAGTGTTTTTCTTTGCTCCTAACTAAAATATAGAACGATAAAATAATGATAATAAATTGTCATGGTTCAATTAACTACTCCTCAGCAGAAGTAAATTACTACATGGTTGTGTTTTAAAAACAAAGCAAAAATTACCCCAAATACCTTCGTGTACATAGTATACTATTTAAATATTTGGGGGTGACTGGTTTTTATTAGTGGTAATAAAAACTTTCCACTACAAGGTCTTTCCATTAAATGAAAGAGTCTTTCTAACTCAAAAGATAGTTACCTCATTTTGCTTAAAATGCAATTTTCATACAAAAAGATCTAACCCCCTTTTTGTGAAATCAGTCATATGAATTAGCCCTATTCACTTCAAACAGGTATTCCAAAAAACAGAAATTACTCATAATAAATAAAGTTAGGCATCTGTTTTGCCTTACTGCTTTGTCACTGTGAAAAGCCACAAGTAAGTATTGAACAAAACTGTTCTTTCAGGATCCTGATATTCATAAAGGTCTTCATTTTGTTTTGTGATACCTGAGGTAGTATAGAGTGCTATCTAATTTCTCATGAGTAAAAAAAAAAACAGTACAAAATCTGACAATATGGAATACCCCCTCAGCAGAGATAACCTCAGGAAGTTATCTGAGGAACTAAAACCCTTAATGTCACCTGTGAATCTGTATTCATGAATATATCAAAACAAAATATAGTCGTGGTTTGGAGACAAATAAATCACTATTTGAGTATCTTTTAACTTTTGTTTAATAAACATTGACAATTCCCCCCCAACCTATTCACAGAGTTCCCTTTAGTTTGCTTTCCAGAACAGTAATAGCCAACATCACAGTGCAGTTTGCCTCCCCTAAACTGTATAACACAATTAAATTCTAGCTTTTGAATCTCCTGAAACATTTCAAGCCAGTGAGGAAAACCTGATACCGATGACAGTAACTAACCGAGCAACTATGTACGGAACAGTGCAGCTGCTGGAGAAACACCGCCTGCAGTGCTTATGGGCTGTTGCCACGCTCCTTCCCCAGTCTGCTTGTTTCTCCTCTCACAGGCCTGGGAACCCTGCCCGCAAACGCTCCACAGCCTCCCGCCTCCCCATGGACTCCACCCCAGACTGCCCCCCAGCTCCTCGGTGACCACGCCACCCCAGGCCAGGAGTCTCTCCATTCCCACAGGGGCGGCCCCCCCGAGCAGGAGCCGCAGCCGGCGCCGGCCGAACCGCAAACGGCGGCACTGCCGCCTGCGCCCCAGCGCGCCCATAGACCCGGGGGCACCGGCCCCGGAACCGCCCCGCCCCCCCGCCGCTATTGGCTGCTTCGCCTCTCCCCGGGCCGCTGATTTGCTGATCGGGCTGTCAGTCAAGCAGTGCGCGGCCCGCCCTGGCACGACCGTCGTGTTGGGGAGCCCTTCCCGCGCGCCGTCCTGGTGTCCCGGAGCGCTTCCTGCGCAGGCGCGCCGGGCGCTGGCCGGCGCAGTGCGGTCCGTGCGGCCGCAGCTCCGGGCAGCTGCCGCTGTGACCCGGCGGGCGGGACGGTGCGCACGGGCCGGGGCGGCTGAGGGGAGAGCGTCCGAGGCGGCTCCGTCCGCGCAGGGCTTCGCTCGGCGGTTCGAGGCTGAGCCCGGCGCACCCGCAGAGTCGCGCAGGGCTGCGCCCGGCAGCGGCGCAGGTCAGTCGGGACGCGGGGCGGGGCGGGACGAGACGGAGCGGCTGCAGCGGGCGGGAGCCGCTCCAGGAGCCGGGGCCTTCGGCGGAGCCCATCCAGGCACCTCCCGCAGCCTGGCAGGCTGGGCAGTCCCTTTGGCTCAGGCCCCGGGCCTGCTTATGAAAACTTGTGTTTGGCCTCCTGCACTCTCCGTCCCCCCGTTCCGTGAGCCCCGCTGCCGTTCAGCCTCCTGGTGCGGACGGGGAGCTTTCCAGCTAGGCCCAGGCGTGCGGTGCGGCACGACAGAGCCTGGTGACGACCTCTGCGGAGAGGAAAGGGCATCATAACCTGTCAGAGGGGTATTATCATGCGTATTCTGATTCCAGCTGAGAGATTGAAACATTTATAATCTTCAAGGGTCATTCCTCTGACCGGCTACTACAGGTGGCAAAGAAACCTAAAAATGAGGGTGGCACCTTTCCCCTTTCTGTTAATCTGTTTTTGTGCAGCCTGTAAGTAACAAACCATTGGTTTACCACAAAACAAATGCGAATTTATTCTAAATGGCCAGTATGTTTTGACAAACAGACAAATTCTGCTTATGGCATAGTCCATACTGGAAGCCACAGCACTGTGTATTTCTTGTATGATCTTTCTCCTGTCAGTGTGAGGGAGGTGTTTGCTGAGGTCAAAGATGAGGTGTGACTAAAATTTATACTAAATGATGAAGGTTGTACTGAAATTTGTCTCCAAAATGCTTTGCCATTTGATTTCATTGCAAGTTAGTTAATTCATGTCAGAGTTTTTGAAGATTTTCTTGACATACAGCTTAGTAACAGTTGTTGATATCAACTTTTCTTTTTAAGACTAATGCTGTTTTTATTCTTTTTGAAGATCTGTTTTATCAGTGTTTTCTACAGATTATTTTTCATCTTTCTGTTGCAGTTCCTCCTCAGCAGAAGATTGTTTTTCAGTTCTTGGCTGTCCATTATGACTAGTTTATCTAATGAAGTGATTAGTAGTAAAACAACTGAACGTGTCATTGCTGGTACTTAATTTGAGTAGTAAATAAGCTATTAAAGGGAAGAAAATTAACATTTTGAGGGCTTTTTCAGTGTTTGCTTATACAGCATGAAGTTATCAACTTCCATTACTTGCTATGGGTTTAAATTCACATCTATAAATATATGTATAAATGTATAAATTATCTCATTAAAAGGGCTTTTTTTTTCCTTTTTAATTTTCAGGGGAAATGAAATAAACCAGTAGGGCACATAATCGACAATAATGAAGGGATTTGACATTTATAGTTTAATTCTTCTGGAAATTGGTACAGAAATACTTGATCATGTCAGTATTGAAACGTCTGCTTTGGTTACTAGTGCATCTAGCATTAGGTGTTAGTAAGAATACTTTTTTGGAGTTAGTGCTGTGTTGATGGTTGGACTCGATGATCTTAAAGGTCTCTTCCTTCTTGATCCTAGAATCCTAGATGATCTAGATGATTCTAGGATTCTGTGATTTACACTTTAATTACCACGAAGATTGTAGTGTTCTCCTTATCGTAAGGTTTTTGGCAGAGTCTGTGACTGGAAAGTGGAATATGTTTAAAGCTATTGTCTATGAAGGTTTTGCAAGGATCTTATCTTGCACCTTCTTTCTTGCCTACTAGTATGGATTTTTGGGGAGAGTCTGAAAGAGGTGGAGTGTTTGGGCCTTTTTATGTAGTGAAAGTTTGTGCATATATCAAGGTTTCAAAAGCACCAGTGTTATGTATGTATATTTGCAGTTCTTAAAGTTGAAATTGAGGATGCTTATTATTGAGTACAGAGTATTGTGAAATTGCACAATAATCTGGGGCCAAGGCAACTGAAATAACTTCTTAGCATTTTGCCTCAATTTTTACATCCTTTTAACTCCTAGGCTTATCTTTGTTCAAAATTGTGGGTTTTTATTTGTCTAGAACTTCCTTTTCAGCAAATAAAAAGAATCCGTTCCCATTGATGTTGTTTTAATAAAGTAAATAATTAAAATTAGATATCTCTCCGCATGAGCGTCAAACTGTCTTTTACTTTTCTTAGAAATGTTGAAAACTCTAAAGTAATAGTAGCGAACTTATGTGTATTTGAATTAGCTCATGCTTACATATAGCTAATCTTAGAACTCTTAGTATAGTAGTACAGACATATAAAGTAGCACATTCTGAATTTATTTTAAAAAAAAGTATTTCTTAGGTAATGGGCCTTCAGATGCATTATGGATCTGCCCACTTATTAAAGGGCTCCCAAGCAGTTAGAATGTCATGCCTTAGTTCATGTTCACAGAGTACTAGTGGTGGTTAGGCTACATGTATATCTGTTCTGTGCAAGGAGGGTGTTTAGATTTGGGAGGGATTATTTTTTTGTTTGTTTGACAGCTCTGTTTGCCTCCTATTAGATTTTTTTATTATTCACCCATGCAGGTGAAGATTGTATGTTTAATTCCATTAAAGATTGTAGTGACTCACAGAAAGATTTTGATACTTAAGGTGATCCAGGACATATAGGAAGTAAATGTTCCTGTAAAGGACCAAATTAAATTAAACTTTCAAACAGGTATTGTTAGTATATAAAAACTTGATTGAATGCTTCGTAGAATAGAGTAGGAAATATAATTTTTATACTCTGATGGTTTTTGACACTTACTACTCCAACAACCTTAATTTGTTCTTTGACATCAAATGCTGCGGTGTAAGTCAAGAAAGATGTTATATCTTCTCTATTTATAGTCTTTTGATGTGGCAGTCTTGAAAATGGCTAAAAGCTGCTACCTAGAGAATATTTGGGAAGGAAGGAAACAAGTTTATGGCTACATAGTATCAATACCAAGAATATGGTGTAAAATAAGTGACTCTTCAATATATAAACCGTGGAAGTGTAGGGAGTGATATCTGAATCCAGTTTTAACATATAGCTGGATGTAGTAATGAAACACATGGTCTTTTAGGAAAAAAAACCTAAATATTTAAATACATGTTCAAAATGTGAGATAGTGGGAATGTCTTTTCTTATTTTGTTAAACATATGACAGTAGTTTCAAAGCCATGAGATTCAGAGAGAAGGGAAGGGGGGGACAAAGAAGGGAAGAAATGGACAGCTTCTTGAAAGAAAATTAGTGGTAAATTAAACAGTAGACAAAATCTGTCAACAATTTGAGATTATAATTTAAGTACCTTGTTACCCATGTGTTTTATTTCTCTATTGGTTATAATGGCCTGCTCTTTTAAAAAACTTCTAAAAGTTCTTATAAAAATTCTACAGCCCTATTGTTGCACTTGGAATTTCTGCATTTATTCAGTAAATAAACTTTGTCCATCTAACACTAACTGATAAGCTTCAGACATAATACAATTTCATTGAATTAGCTTGTAAGCATGGTGTGCTCCAATAATAATAATTAAGATAATAAGAAGAAATACGAATAAACGTTTGAATTAAAAGCTAGCATTGTATTTAATAAGCAATGTTCTTCATATATTACCAATAAACTCATTCTGTATTAATATCAGTCTAACTGAAGAATAAGATATGGTATATTACATTTTTGATACCTTGCTTCTTAAACCTTTTATGTATTCAATGATTTTTGGGCAGAGAGGGCTTTTTTAAGACTCTCTAGGTAATAACTTTTTCAATAAAGAAGTTCACTGTTTGTGCCAGTTTAGCAATATTTCCTTTAAGCTATATGGTCTCTGACAGAAACTAATGTAATCTATTTCTTATTCAGTAGGTTAGTGATATTAGTGCCAGCTTTCTCTGAGAGCCTGGTTTAAGGATAAGAAAGTAAGATCATTGCCCTGGATTTTAGGAAAGCAGGCTTTGGCGTCTTCAGGGATCTACTTGGAAGAATCCCCCAGGGTGAGGCCCTGGAGGGATGCAGCAAAGCTGGTTGATACTCAAGGATCACCTCCTCAGAGCTCAAGACCAGTCCATCCCAACAGTTATGAAGTCAGGCTAAAATGCCAGCAGGCATACACTGATGAACAAGGAGCTCATCACGAAAATCAGACATTGAAAGTAAATGTGCAGAAGCAGGAATGGATAACCTGGGAGCAGTATAGACAGTGCCTCAGCATGCATAGATGTGGAATTGAATCTGTGTGGGGTGTCAAAGACAACAAGAATTGCTTCTGTAAATACACCAGTAGCAGGAGGAATACTAGGGAAAATGTGGTCTCATGGCCGAATGAACATGGAATGTGGAAAAGGCTGAGGTTCTGCAGGCTGCCTTTGCTTCCTCTACTAGCAAAGACCTTCAGGAATTATAGAACATAGGGAAAAGTATGAAGCAGGGAAAATAAACACTTGGAAGAGGTTTAGGTCAGAGAAAAGTAAGTAGGACATAGATAACGCTCTGGGAATGTGCTCATGAGTGCTGATGGAGCTGGCTGATACCATTTTGAGGACAATAATCAATAATCATAGGATTGGGAGATTGAGGAATTGGGAGAAGTGCCTGTAGACTGGAGGAAAGTCAATGTGCCTTCTGTTTTCGAAAGAGCAGGAAGAAATACTCCGGGAACTACAGCCTGATCAGCTTTAGCTTGATCCCCCAGAAGGATGGAAGGTGATGGAGCAGCTAATACTGGAAACCTTTCTAGGACACATTAAAGAAAATGATCAGGAGTAGTCAGCATGGATTTACCAAGGGGAAGCCATTCTTGACCAACCTGATAATTTTCTACATGAAATGACAGGGGGAGGGAGGGCAGTAAATACTTGCATCAGTCTTTCAGCAGTGTCTCCTGTGACATTCTTGTGGAGAAGCTGCTGCAGTATGGGCTGGGTGAGCAAATAGTGAGGTCAGCATAAAATGTGCTGAACAGATGGACCACAGGGAATGGCAATCAGTTGTGTGAAGTCTAGTTGGAAGCTGGTAACTCCAGTTGTACCCCAGGGGTCAGTACTGTGTTCAGCCCTGTTTAACATCTCCATTAATGATCTGGATGATGCAATGTGTGCAGTTAGAAGATGATAATTTTGTCAATTAAAATCAGTCTTTCAGTGGAATACCCTCATGTAAATTTCTCCCTAGCCAAGGTCTGTTTCCCAAATGTTAGCTATTTAGGAAAAACATCTGAATTCATGCAATTTTTCAGAGCATCCAGAAAGTGAATTTAAATTTTCAACCTAAATGATAGTACATTGTTTATGACTTAAAATGGAAATGGGCTCACTGTATTGCTGCTGCAGTTAATGAGGTCAGGCACTACAGCTTGTTACCTCTCTTGGACTGAAGAAGTTTACTTCAGTATGGTGTTTTCAAGCAGGCTGCTTATGCTGTTTTGAGGTTTTTATTGAGTTTTCTTGGTCTGTTTTTT